GGGAGGCTCGGGGTCTCGGGCTGCTCCGGGAAGTTGCAGCCCGCGTCGCCGCCCAGGGCTGGGCGCCTGTCCTGCCCACCCAGGGACACCTCGCTGCGTCTCGGGCTCCGGCGGGCAGCGGGGCACCCACCTTGGGGAGACCCGGAGAGAGCCGGGGTGGCTGGCGAGCCGCGGGGGCGCGAGGTCCAGCGGGGTCTTTTTTGTGTCTGGCTGTTGGAGAACCGAAGGTGAAATTCAGTGTCTAATCGACAAATCGCCTCGGCTGCTATTTTATTTTCGCCTTCATCCTTCGATACCTTTGGGGAAATGCGCTATTCAGGTGGGGAAGGTGCAAGGAAAAAGCGAGGCGAGAAAGGAGCAGCTTGAGGCGGGGTAACGGAGTTGGGGTGTGTGGGGGAGGCTGGGGATCTCTTTTGTTCCCTGCCCTCCCTTCCGTCCGGGAAAGGGAGTTCTGGGCCCCGGGAGGTGGCACCCCCGAGGGGAGGACGAGGAACGCCCACCAGCCCCGGGTGGGTGGCTCTGAGGCTCCCTCGCCGTGGGGGATGAGTCTTTTTGTGATCGGTGGAATCACAGTTTCCTCGCTGCCTCCTCGCCGGACTCCCTCCACTCTCCCTCTCCACGGGCTGCAGCAGAGTCTGGATGCAGACGCTCGGCCGTTTCCCTCTCTTCTGCTCACCTCCCAGTCTCCGTTAAAAATGTCGGAGGACTTGAGGAGGGCGGAGGGCCAGAGCTTGCCTCGGAGAGCCCCCCCCCCGCACCCCGGGAGGCGTCCCAGGAGGTCCGTGCCACCCTTGGGAGCCCCTGGGCTCCGGGGACCGAGGGGAGGTCCCTGCCCGGAGGAGATGCCCGCCCGCCTCGCGCCCGCCTCGCGCCTGGCGCCCTGGGGACCCGCCCTGCGCCGTCCGCCCCCTGCCGGAGCCCGGGACGCGCGCACCTGGGAGCGTCCGGCTCGCGGGGGAAGTCGGACTCGGCTCTCCGCAGTTTTGCTAACCAGCTCTTCTCTCCTTCCTTGCTCCGGAGTCCTGTCTAGAGAACTTGGCCAGTTTCACAGCTATTTCTTTCCATCTTAAAAATTGTTTTACAGCGAGATTCTTTTCATCATAGGATGACTATCACAAATAATAAAGAGAAATCTTAGTTTGTCTCCCACCTAGAAAAGACACTTCGGAGACTGGATTTCATCTGCATTTCCGGCGTTCATACATGCTGGTTTTCCGGATGATAAACACTTCTGAAAATCATTTAATTGTCTAAAAAATAATTTCTATTCCTCTAATGGAAAAAATGCCCCCCCCCCCGGATTCAAAGCTGCTAGAGACTACATGTATTAAATTTGCTGTAAAACATTTATAAGTGTAGTATATTTGTTCCTGAAGTCTTTTATAGTAATCATAGTAGTTATCCATGAAATGTACGTTATAGCACTAATAACTAATCAAAAGGTAATTTATACGCATTAATTCAAATGAATGAGAAGTTTGACCTTCTCCAGTTAAGTTACTGTTATTAAGCTACTTCTGTTGGCATGAACAAGAACAATAATTAGCACACTCATGAGGGTAGATTTATACACTTTTTATAATCTTAAACATGGTATTTAGGGCAACTATGGGAGAGTAGTTTACAGTTTGGGATTATTGGAAAACAAGTGTTTACTGTTGCAAAAACATCAAGTGGCATAATTTATTAAATGAGTTGAATTTCCATGACAGTGACATCTGATCTCACAGCCATGGACAATCATCCTCCTCTTGAAATTGTAGTCTAAGAGATTAAGAAAACTACTTAATTTACAAACATAAGGTGTCCATTTTGCCAACCTTAAGCTTTTTACTCTGGTTCCTCAACTTGGTCTTTAGTTCCTACGGCAGGGAATTAACTATGAGTTCAGTTCTAAGGTGACAGCTTTTCCTTTCCAAATAGGTTTTAAGGGTCATCCTATGGGGAACTAGTTTATTTGAACTCATAATGTTGAAGGTCAAACTCTACTATATTCCTGTGGACCTGTTATACTTTTGGCATAATAAATATATAGCCTTCCTTAGCCTTTCCTATGACTAAGGCCAAAAGCTTTGAAGGAAAAGAGAAATATATAATCATCCATTTCATCTTGTTATAACAGCCAAGTAGACATGAATGATCTACATCTTTTTTGGGGGGGTACTGGAAATCGAACTCAGAACCTTGGGCTTGCTAGTCAGGCGTGATGCCACTGAGCTAAGTTCCCAGTTCCAGTCTACATCTTAATTGATAAAAATTTTGACAAAGCTGGATGTGATGGTGCACACCTGTGATCCCAAAACTTGGGAGGCTGAGGCAAGTAGATCACATGTGAGGCCAGGCCAGGCTACAGAGCAAGACCTTGTCTCCGAAACAAAAAAAATCTGATTTACTCATAGACTGAAGAGTGAGAAAGAATTTATGTGTTAATGTACTAGTATAGAGAATATGGACTTTGTATTCGAAGTGCATTTGCTGAGCTGCATGGACTTTTCTGGAAAAGTGCATGGTAGGCACATAAAATGTGGCGTGGAGCTAAGAGGGTTGGGAACACCCTGAGCCACGTTGCTTCTCTAAGAACCCTGATAGTCCAGTTCTGAAGAGATACAATGAAGACCTTCCACTGCCCAGAAAAGCAAATGCAAGGACCACTCCACACTCGGTGGATGAGAGTAATGCCACATGCTGTTGAAAGCATTTTGTTTCATCTGATTACTGTAGAGTATAAATATAAATTGTTGTGGAGGCTGAAAATTGTATAACATTTCCAGTGGAGAGTCTTGGATCCTCAGACATGTAAGTTTATATGAAGAGTTAAAAAAATAACACAGTCCTTTGCCATCAATAGACAAGACTTCCTGCATTAGGTTGACATACCGCCACTGCCCTCTCTCCCCTCATCTGCCCTTATCCCCCAAACACAAAGACACTTAACTTTCAAAAGCTTCATTTGACTGTTATTTCTGCTATTGTGCCTGCATCTCTTGGAATATCTGGACAAAGGCGGGTATTAAATGTTTCTTAGATGAATAAACTTTGCAGAATTGACGTGGCTTGAAAAAGCTTTCTAAAAGCTGAATTACAATTTTTAATAGTACTTGTGCTCTTTATCCTAAATATCATGGCCATGATACCACATTTTTGGAGAAGGCAATTTTTAGGATTGTTATATTGTGAATATGTATATTTTAATATACCATTTATTTTGTTGATTTAGTTCCAAATTATAAAACAATATTCGTTTATTTTAGAGACCCTGGAACATATGAGAATGTATGAGACAGAAAATGAAAATTACCCTTGGGCACACACAATTATGATGAACATGAGTTTTGGTCAAGCTGACCTTAGCTTGTATCCTGGCTCTTCCTTTTAATAGTGATGTTGCTGTGTAACTTACCTGCCCTGGGCCTCAGTTTCCTCAGACATACAACTGGATAAAGATATAACCCCTGGGATGGTTTCAAGCGTAAATATAATGCCATCTGCATAAAGTACTAAACATAGTGCTTAGTGTGTACTTACAATTACCCCAATGCTTAAAGAAATGATATTGAAAATACAAAGTGCTTTACCAGCAGTTTACCCTATATGAAAATGTACCAGTGTTTAAGGAATTGAGCCCTGCATGGTAGCCCTTGCCTGTGATCCCAGCATGCTGGCAGGCTGAGTCAGGAAGGTTGCAAGTTCAAGCCCAACCTGAGCAATTCAGCAATTTAGCGAGACCCGTCTCAAAAGAAAGAAAAGGAAAAAAACTTAAATATAAAAAATGTAGATGAAGCTCAGTGCTAAGTCTCTGGGTCCAATGCCTAGTCCCCCCTCCTCCCCCAAAAGAATTGAAATCTTGTAGACCACCATACATGCTTTTAAAAATACTAGTATTACTCTGTTACTGCTTCTGTATTTTAATACAGTTTAGTGACTGCAAAAAGAATTCATCTTATGGATATTTTGATTTATTTAGTCTCCCTTTTATTTGGGGCATTTTATGTTCCTGTATTCCTATAGTAATGGATGTACATCTTTATTTGTAGATTTTTGTATGCATATCTTTAATGCAATTTTTTCTTCGGGCTTGATATATAGAACATCTGGTTCACACCAACATAATGTCATCTCCTATGAACATCTTTGATAGATGACACAAAAAGTTTTCAAACTTTTATTCTTTTATTTATTTGAGACTGATTACTTTTTTGTCCTCCTTTAAAGCATTTTTCTAAAAATATGGCTTGTTCAAGTTTTTTTGCCCATGTGTCTATTGGTATTTGAATATATTTTTCTTATTTGAGTGGTGATATTAATTAATCTCTCAGTAGGGAAAAGCACACAAGGAAGGGAATCCTTAATGGCAAAGAGAGCATGTGGCAAAGATGCAGAAATTACTGTGGCAAAAGCAGAAAGTCTGCAAAGGTTATTATGGCTGGAAGCAGATCAGCTATGAAACCAGAATGGCCATGGGGCCAGGGATTCTGACCTCCTACAGTACCTTTCAAAAGCCCAGGGTCACTAAATAGTTTGCAAACACCTTACTATGAGAAGCTTGTACATGAAGAGTTCGCAGGGTTTTGTGGGTTCTTTCTGTGAGTTTCCTATGTTGTAGGAAACTTTCAGATTTTCCTAATATAGATCGGATTGAAAAGGAAGATAGTTGCTTTTGTTGGTCACTCTGGAGGCTGAAGCAGAAGGCTCGAGGATCGCTGTGAGTTCAAGGCCAGTCTGAACTGCATGGTGAAACCCTGTCTTAGCAGAACCATCCATAAATAAATAAATAAATAAATAAAT